CCACCCTCAGCGTGGGGTTCTTAGATTAGACTACCGTAAAGTCTTCTCCCAGTCTACTCCTCGCCCATCACCCGCATCCCACCCCGGAGTATCCCCAAAGAATCCCTGGAGTGCCCAACCCCAGAGTATCCTTTCAGAGAACCATTGGAGCGCCCAGTAGTGCCCAACCCCAGAGTATCCCCAGAGAGTCTCTGAAATATCCAGCCCCAAGGATTCTTGCAGAGAACCCCTGGAGTCCCTAACCCTTAGAGGAGCCCCTTGAGTCCCAACCCTTAGAGTGAGCCCGCTAGTACGGTTTAGGGTTTAGGGTTTAGGGTTTTAGGGTTTAGGGTTTAGGGTTTAGGGTTACCCGCAGGGTGGGGATAGTCGAAGTAAAACACTTTTAGGGTCTGGGGCGCCGCTGTTGCGAGGAGCAGGGTTCAAGTGTTGTACCGGGTTGCTACTAAGGGACTTGCCAAGATATTGCGACCGGCCTTTGATATTTGCCCATGCCACGGTATGCTTTTTGAAAACTCAGTATAATGCGCGCCGTTTTCAACCTTTTGAACACGAGTTGCTTGGGTTCAAACACTCTAGTGCATTTCAAGGTGTTTCGGGATGTTTCTTGGTTGCTGCGAAGGACCATGTACATACATACATACATGCATACATGCATACATGCATACATACATACAAACATACAAACATACAAAGACACATACATCCATCCATCCATCCATCCATCCATCCATCCATCCATCCATCCATCCATGCATGCATGCATGCATGCATGCATGCATGCATGCATGCATGCATACATACACACACATAAAATAATAATCATATATATATATATATATATTCTATATATATATATATTCTATATATGTATATATACTTGAAAAGTAGAGGGTCCCATGCTTAGGTGGGTGCGGGGGGTTGACCCAGCAGTCCTTAGTACATTGTAGCCGGATCCGAACGAAGCTTAAGCTTGAGACTCGCTATGCATGGCTAAAAAACCCTGCGAAAGCCAAAGAAACAGCAAGCAGTCCGCCTTGGTCCCCTTGTGCCGTTCCTCAGCTTGCAAAACAAGATCCTTTCTTGGGCCTATGCATCTCGCAAGTCTTGCTATGTCCCTAGTTCAAGTCTCCCTTTGCCTGCATTTATATGGTCCTTAAGGGAGGGTTTATTGAGGCTGGGTACCTAGGGAACCTTTGGGATCCTTGGGGAACCTTAGGGAACCTTAGGGAAGCTTTGGGAGCCGAAGGGAGTAGTGGGGAGACTTAGGGGACCTTAGAGCCCTGTAATGAGTAGACCCTGCACCCCCAAACCTCAAAATCCTACACTCTCGAACCCTGAGCTCCAACTCCCGAAGCTGCCAAGTCCTACCTGCGGTCTCTTGTTGCCTATCCACCGGCAGCTTAGTCCATTGTCTCTGAAGTCCTAGTAGCCTTTAACTCTTTGTAACTCAACTTATCTAGTAGGTAACCCTAAACCCTAAACCCTAAACCCTAAATCCTAAACTCGAAGCCCTAAACCTGCAAGGACTTCTATCGGGACTTTTGGTTTCAGGGTTGAGGGTCCTAGCCCTGAACCCTACGCGCTAAACCGGGGTTAGGGTTCATTTTGGGGATTAGGGTTTAGGCTTAGGGTTTAGGGTTTAGGACTTAGGGTTTAGGATTTAGGGTTTAGGATTTGGGGTTCCGTCTGGCAACAAGTGAGGGCTAGATGCGGCCTGCATCCCTCGAAACAAGGGCTCAGGCGCTGAGCTTACGAGGGGGAAATCGGGGGGGGGGGGGAGCAAGTGCACCTCTGGATCTTGAGGTCCAGGCTTTGGGCTTCGGGGGTCGGGTTTCGGGTTTCGGGTTTCGGGTTTGGGCTAAACCCGATAGGGTTTAGGGTTGAGGGTGTAGGGTTGAGGGTCTAGGGTTTAGGGTTGAGGGTGTAGGGTTGGGGGTCTGGGGTTGAGGGTTTACTTACCTGGGGCTCTATTTGCCGGCAGTATTGTGGTATTTGCAGGTGTGACCGACACAAACTGAAGGTTGTTTTAGGGGACCATGTACTGGGCTTTACTGTTTCATTGGGAATGTAAGGGATGCTACCCCCAAGCAAAAAGGAGGAAGAGCATCACTCAGGATCCTAGTAACCTGGTACACAATTACAACGTACAAGATGAAACGACCTGGATTCCAGGCAGAGCTCCTTGATGCCAATGTCTTTGACGGAGTTGCCGTGCAACTTTGTGCTCTTTGCAACACAGGCTGCCAGGCTGCCACCTTCTGAAGGCTGCTGCGCGTCTGCAGGTGCGAAACAAGCCGGCTGAAAGCAGGACTGCTGCTGCACTGCTGGCCTACGCCCCGTAGGCGAGGAGCACCCGAGCTTTCCACTGCCGGACTGCCCCAGAAAGATGGCACTCTTGTGCAAGCAAGTGTTTGCAAGCATTTGAACCCTAAACCCTAAACTCTAAACCCTAAACCCTAAACCCGAGCACGAGCTGCCATACTTCTGTTCGATTGCGGATGCAGCGTCGACGGCCAGTCAAAGCATCGAGCCTGTTTGACATCTCCGTCAGCACTCCCAGAATTCAGATGGGGCCTGTGGTTTACCAAAGGACATATACGATATACGATTCTAGGGTAAAGGCACCCGAGTATGACTTATCTCAAAGATGAACTCTATAGACACAAAACCGACTTAAAACCAAAGAACATTCACAGCCGCTCCACCCCAAGCCCTAAGCCCTGAACCCCTGAAACGCTGAATCAGATCTTTCCGTCAGGGTTCTTTATTTGCGGGAAGCCGACGGCCCGTGCTGGACCGACCAGAGCGACTTCGAGCATACAGGATATGAGTATCGTGCCTCATGCAATTCTTGTCTTTTGGAAGAGCATACAATTTGTTTAGGCGGGGTGATCTTAATGACTTAGGCCCCTGCATGAATTCTACTCCCAGTGAGGGGGCGCGAGGAGCCTGCCTGAATGCTATCTAGCCCCGGATGGAACACCCTGAACCCTAAACCCAAACCCCTTTAACCCTTGAAACCCTAAACTTCCCTAAGCCCTCATTGGGGATGCCAGACCCGAAACTTTAAACCCTAGGCCCTGACGAGGATCAATTCCAGACACCGGGGCCTCGGTGTCCTGATGCGATTTAGGCCTGAGGATTTAAACTCCCAGCCCCCTGAACCCCTCAAACCCTGAGCCCTAAACCCTAAACTGCCCTGAACCCTAAACCCTAAACCCTAAACCCTAAACCCTAACCCCCACTTCTGCCCAAAGAGCTGCGGAGCCGCGCTCCGGAGATGTCCCTGGCAGGTTGCGCCGAGCCTGAGGTCTCCAGAACTGGGTTGTGGTGTCGGGGTTTCTGGGGTTTAGGGTTTAGGGTTTAGGGTTTAGGGTTTAGGGTTTAGGGCTAGGGGTGAAGGATTCAGGGTCTAGTTAGGGTTCGGACGCACCTTCTGGCCTCGCGTCTGGGCTTTGTAGGGGAGATCGCTAAGGGTTAAGGGTTAAGGGTTAAAGGTTCAGGGTTAAGGGTTTAGGGTTTAGGGTTAAGGGTTAAGGGTTTAGGGTTGCAGGTCCTTAGGTTGCGGGGCTAAGTTTTAAATTAAAGTTCAGCGGTTAACTGGGTCGCCCAATAACCATCTTACAATAAGGGTACTTACCTTATCAGAGAACCTTGAACCAAAAAAAGGGAAAAGGATACCACTGGGCTACAGAATTAAGGTGCCAAACAGTTGAAAGGTCGCCTATTCAGCGCCTTGAAGCAACTGTCTCGTGATCACGTGACTTTCACTGCGAGCGGCACCATTGGAAGTGTCTGGAGTTCAGTCCCTAAACCCGAAAATTCCTTCCTCAGCCTAGTCATATGACCCTAAACCCTAAACCCTAAACCCTAAACCCTAAACCCTAAACCCTAAACCCTAAACCCTAAACCCTAAACCCTAAACCCTGCAGAAGCAACCCGAGCGCCTTGGTTTCCACCGGGAGGCCCAGACGGCCCTTCGGAGCAAAGGCTGGCTGTTGTGGGGCGTTGGGGGTTTCGAGGTTTAGTGTTTATAGGGTTTAGGGTTTAGGGTTTAGGGTTTAGGGTTTAGGGTTTAGGGTTTAGGAGTTCAGGGTTTGGAGGTTCGGGTTCGAGGTTCAGGGGTTTTCTGGGAGGTCTTGGAGCAGATCTCGGTTCAACATGGCGCTGCCGACAAATGAGCGCCAACGCTAAACCCTAAACTGACATGAGCCGTAGGGTTGTTAGTAACTTAAAACTTAGGGCTTAGGGCTTAGGGTTTACATAGGGTTTAGGGTTTAGGGTTTGGGGTAGACGCTCGCCTTAAGCTGCGACATTCAGTACACGCCCTGGCAGCTCCGGCACTACAAATCTCACTAAAGCCACTGACTGAGGTAGTTCTATGGGCCCTGAATATGGTCCCTTACCTCCTTTCAAATGGGCCGAAGGGTTGAAGAGGGTAACGACCCTGAGACACTGACATCCTCACGCCCGATGTTTCGCTTGCACACTTTGTTCTTTTGGGCACGGGATCGCAGATCTGTGTCTGCGCTCCGTGGACAACACTTGCGTGGAACTCAGTACGCCGCACAGGATCGCAGGTCTTTGTCTGCGGCTCTGTGAACTCATGGCAAAAATAAATGGCTGGTTCTTAGTCGGGAATGAGAGAATGAGGTGCCCTATATAATTCTTTACGGGGTGTATATATATATATACATATACATATACACATCTAGAGAGGGCGCTAGTTCCCTCATTCCCGACGAAGAACCAGGGGGGTAGTCACACACGGGCCAGAGAGTTCGATGGCGATTGAACCCATAAGGCGCCTACTGTAACTTCCATGCAGGGCGCCTTGCCAAGCGGCGAGGCACGCGTGGTGCTTTCGCTGGAGCACGGAATGGGATTGCATCTTGGGGCTGTTTGGGAAGGGGTCCGAGTTGATTCTATCTGTCCTGGAATACACGGGTCGACTTAAGAACACAAGCTCAGCTCTTGCAAGCCTTCCCCCGCGCTATTGCTCAAATCACCAACCCACTACGGCGTGCGAAGAAGCTCCAAGCCAACAAAGCGACGGTGATACCTGCAGGGGATGTAGATGACGCTGTTGAGAAAGCAGCAGCTCCTGTGGTGGTCGTGGTCGTCGCCGCGCAGCCGCCGGTGACCTTCGCAGATCCTCCACCCCCTACGTTGCACGCCCCATCGCAGGAAACGGCCCAGGTTGCAGCAGAGATGTTGGCACCCGTGCAATCATTGCCTTGGCTTGTGCGTGGCACTCCCCGGGTACTAGCTTGCCCTACGCGCTCCCTTCTGGGAAAAGGCACGGCCTGTCGAGTCTTAGAGTGCCCTCACTTCGAAGCCGAAACTGACAGCGAACGCTGGTCCTGTGCTAATCTTGGCCCAGGAGCTGGTGTACGAGGTGTGCATGAAAGTCCCGTCCACGACCTCAGTCCTCGGGCCCCCCATCTCCAAGCTAAAAGGCTACGCTGTTGCATGCTAAATTACATGGACATATGGAGACGGTAGCACGTGGATTTTCCTGATGTGTGCCGCCGAAGATATGCCATGTAATACCCTAAACCCTAAACCCTAAACCCTAATGCCTTCCAAGCATCTTCACCGAGCCTGTTTGAGTAACGCGGCAAGCCATCAGGGGATAGCTTGGTGCCGCCGTCATGGTGGTGCAGGCCGCGTCGGAGTACGCTTCCATCGTGACCACGTCAAGGTCCACGCATTCCACGTACTTGTCGGTGTTCATGACGCAGGTGCCGAACTCAAAGAACTCGTCCGGCACCAGGGGTTGCTTCTCGGTGCAGTTCGCGCCTGGGCCCACGAAGGTTTCGAGCAGCACCCCGGTGCCGTTGCAGGTCCGGGAGTTGGGCAAGGCGGTGCACTCGCCGCTCATTGTGACCTCCAGCTCCGTCACGCCACCGGCGCAGCCGGTGGTTGCATACTTCTCCTTCTTGAAGAAGAGCGCCGCTTCCGAGGAGACGACCAGGAGGCCGAAGCACCTGGACTAGAGCTCTTTGGTTTTAAGGGGATGATAAGGGAACCCCAACCCTAAAAGAATGAAAAAGGGGCCTACTCCCGGTCCTAGACTGCCAGGTTCTGAGGTGCAGAAGTGCTTCGGGTAGTACGGGAGCTCCACCATGCTCACAAGTACAGGTGCCCTATCGCTGCTAACCAACCCTAAACCCTAAACCCTAAGCCCTAAACCCTAAACCCTAAGCCCTAAACCCTAAACCCTAAACCCTAAGCCCTAAACCCTAAACTGCAGCCCAGACACAGGACAGAAGCACGGGACATGACGAGCACAGGGTTGGCGTGGGGCTCGGGGGCAAATGGCTGAGAAGAATAAGAGCGCATATAGTATGTACCGCTACGCGCCCGGGGGTTTGGGGTTGTTTTGGGAGTTGAATTAGGGCGTGTCGTGCTTCGGTTTTGCAAACGGCCCCAACTACAGAATTACCGGGGAAGGGGGGAGGGGATGTTTGAAGAACTCGTGCACCCCTAAACCCTATAGCGCTAAAGGCCGGCCTTGTCGCCATCGTTGCGAAGCTTTTCGAGCTTGGCTTGTCGGTCATCCTCCACCTGGGGCGGCGCAGAGTCGGAGTTGACAGTTGCAGGGGTTTAGGGTTTAGGGTTTAGGGTTTAGGGTTTAGGGTTTAGGGTTTAGGGTTTAGGGTTTAGGGTTTAGGGTTTAGGGTTTAGGGTTTAGGGTTTAGGGTTTACTGTTTCGGGTTTAGGGTTTAGGGTTGAGGGCTGGGTATTATAGGGGCCTGAATATCTAGAATAGGGGTTCGGGGGTTATTATGGTATAGTTGCAAAGCGACCCCCCGTTTTTTGGGTTTGGGGTGTTTGGGGTTTAGGGTTGAGGCTTCAGCAGGTTTAGGGCTTAGGGTTGAGGATTTGGGTTTAGGATTTGGGGTTTAGGATTTCGGGTTTAGGGTTTAGGGTGTAGGGTTTAGGGTTTAGGGGTTTGGGGCTTGGGGTTTTCGGGTTTAGGGTTTAGGGTTTCGGGTTTAGGCTTGCACGCTTGAGAGATGAGTGCTGCCAGCGCTGGCGTGAGGAGTTCAGGAGCTTTGGGATGGCTGGCTCCGGTCGCTTCTTACTTCTCACATAAGCAAGGGGAAAAAGGTTAAACTTTAATACTCCAACTAAGTAAGGAAACCTAAAAAGTTGAAAGTTCAACTAAAGGCGAAGCAAGTTTAGGCAGCCCCGTTTTAGTGCGCTTAGGGTTCCCTACGGGCTTTTTGAGGGTTTATAGGGTATCATTGGCCATCCTGCGTATGAGGGCTTGTTTAAAGCTTCGTTTTGGGGAGACCTATGAACCCCATATAAGCCCTGCTCTTTATAGCCTTTTAGGGTTTATACGGTTTAAGAGTTAGGGTTTTTTCGGGTTTCGGGTTTAAATCTTAGTTTCTTTTGTGGTCTCCCGCGTAGTCCGATCTGCTCACAGCAGCCCCACGCAAGCGCGACACCTCCGAGACCTCTGAAGCCTAAAACCCGCAGCGACTGCACCCTTAATCCTCAACCATGAAGACCTTCGCCCTCAAGCTTGAACCCTAAACCCTAAACCCTAAACCCTAAACCCTAAACCCCAAACCCTAAACCCTAAACCCTAAACCCTAAACCCTAAACCCTAAGCCCTAACAGGGCTTGGGGTTTTCAAGGTTTGGGCTGACCGTCTTGAGGGCCCCACGGAGCTTCGGCGGTCTGAGCGGCTGCTGGGCCTCAGCAATTCCGCAGAGTCCTTGCTAGAATGCTGATAGGGTTTAGGGTTTAGGGTTTAGGGTTTAGGGTTTAGGGTTTAGGGTTTAGGGTTTAGGGTTTAGGGTTTAGGGTTTAGGGTTTAGGGTTTAGGGTTTAGGGTTTAGGGTTTAGGGTGCGTCCGCAAGATCATTGCTGGAATTCTGTAGGTTTAGGGTTTTGGGTGTTGGGCGTTGGGCTCAGGGCTTCCGCACAGCCATTGCGGGAATGAACCGTAGGGTTTACCTGAAGGCTCCTATGTAGTTTCTTTTCTGGGTTAGTTGTGCGGGATTCTGGTATACCACCCGATTTAACAGTACTACATAGGAGCCTTGGGTTTAGTCTATAGGTGTTTGGTATAGAGCTCTCTTTGCAGAGGGAATAGGGAATGATCCAGACACTGATGCCGAGGTTTGAGTGTTGAGGTGCTGTTTATCGGGGCCCAGAATGATGATACGGGGCACTTCCCAAATAGCGGTGTTCCCAATAATACCCCAGGGTGCACCCCTCCCCATGCTTTGGAAACCCCCACATGCATTCTTTGCTTTGGGCTTTGCGGGTCGAGGATTTGAGGCTCGTGAGTCTGAAATGCCGTTTTAGGGTGTAGGATTGACGGTTTACAGGCTAAACCATAAACCCTAAACCCTAAACCATAAACCCTGAACCCTTCGTTGCAATTCGCAATTCACAGGTTGCGGTGTTGCGGGGTTTCGGGGTACGGGCGCAACCCGACTTTTGAGATCCGAGCTGATGAGTTTTTAGGTTTAGGGTTTAGGGTTTCGGTTTAGGGATGTTTAGGTCTGCTAGGGGCTAAGTGCATGAGGAGGTTTGGCTTTGAGTGGTTCTAGGGCATGTCGTGCGTGTGCGAGGCTTGGGATTCGTACGGCCTCTCACTTGCGTTCTTAGCCCTACCCCTTCAGGGCTCGCCCCAACGCTGAAGACACTACAGACCCGCTGTCTCCTCAAACTCCAAACCCCTGAATATACCTGCAAGTCGGGTTTAGGGCAACTTTACTTGCATGTGTAGGTGCAGTACACCTGGACTCGGCCGAGCTTACGCCTCTGCTTGAAAAAACCCAAAACCCTAAACACAGTGGGATGCCTGCGACTGTGACTGCCAGTTCGACTGCCATCCTGCGCAGACCCAACATGCTTTGCACATGCGAGATGCGCGGCTATGGATTTCAGGGTTTCAGATCCTCCCTACTGGTTCTTAGTATGGAATGAGGGAGTTAGGTACCATAAATCGTATTTCCCCAGATTCCTCTCTGAGTGATGATAGAAGGTACATAGTCGCACCTAATTACCTCAGTCCGAAAACTGAGACCCAGTAATATAGGGGCCATAATAATTAGAAGAAGGTTTGTTTGGGCGGGGGTGGGATTATAATATCTAATACCAACCCTCAACCCTAAACTACTAGCAATTATTCCGACCCCTATAGTCAGCTTACTGTGGCTCCTCCTAAGCCCTCATAGACAGACCGCGGGTCTTCCAATGTATGATCACTTCAGGTATCGCGATCTGCCCTAAAGCCCAAACCCTAAAGTAGGGTTTAGGGTTTACGGTTTAGGGTTTAGGGTTTTTGCAACGTGTTCAGCTGAAAGCGATAACCAATGATGTAAGAAACGGTGAAAGCTAGTGGTTTCAAGAGTCTACAGGCTATCTGGGGATTGCACCACTCAACAAAGGTGAAGTAACTAGCTTTTATCTCGACTGCTGGCATCAGGTACGCTGCATTCTGGAAGCCCTGCACTGTGTCACCGCACGCCGCTTTGGGGGGTGTCGCCGCAAAAGCATGGCCAAAATCCCATGAGCCCAGTATTCTGGGCCTGTAGACGACTTTGTAGGCTTGCTGAACCCTAAACCCTAAACCCTAAACCCTAAACCCTAAACCCTAAACCCTAAACCCTAAACCCTAAACCCCAATCCCTAGCCAAAAGCCCGTGCTCTCAGCAACTCGCACCTCGCTGTCGCTGGCCTGGGTGTCCTCGGTGTAAGGCTTGGCCCGAAAGGTCCATGCACCAAGATACCCCAAGCCTTACTTCTCCGATAAACCAAGGCACGAGAAAATAGGCTAAACTGTAGGATTCCTACCAAAAAAAGAAAAAACCAACAAGTTTAAAGTTCATGTATTGGCTAACTAAGAAACTTTAAGCCAAAGGTACAGCACAGGACCCCACTATGGTATAGGTATAAAGGGACCTCAAGGGAATATTTGTAATTATTCCGACCCCTATATTAGGGTTTAAGGTCTGGGCTGTTGGGCATTCTGGAAAAACCGCAGGTGAGCATTGGCACAGCTGAATGGCTTGAAGCCCGACTTAGGAAATACCATGAAAAATCACCTAAACCCTAAACCCTAAACCCTAAACCCTGAACCCTAAACCCTAAACCCTAAACCCTAAACCCTAAACCCTAAACCCTAAACCGGAGGAATCATATGGTCACTTCTCGAAAACATGGTCCCTTTTGGGGTATTTTTTCTAAGGCGGCACCTCCTGTTTAGGGTGCCCAAGAGAAGGGACCATAATTTCAAAAACTCACCATATGGGGATACTGTAGTGGTTATACTGTAGTGGTTATGATGACGGGGGATCCCTTCCTTCCATCACCTGCAACAGGCTGGGTATGCTCGCAATGCAGCGGGCAAGGGTGTATGTGTTCGAGCTGAAATCCGGAACACAACCTCACTGAATCGGAAGAAAATAGCAGCAGCAACATGCTTACAACATCTTCTCGCTCGGCTGCGCACCAGCTTGGCACGCAGTTGCGCATTTGCTGCCTGCAGCTCGGCCTCAGTAAAACGGTTTCGGGTTTAGGGTTTAGGGTTTAGGGTGTAGGGAACCCTTCCACTGCATGCTACGTGCTTCACCTCCTAGACACCCTGCCGGGGAACCCTGCAAGCGAACCCCTTCAGTGCTATTCAACACCTAACCCTAAGGGTCCATGTACCTAACTAGGGAATACTTGGGCCCCAAAGTCCCTATATAGCAGGTACTTAAAGGCCCAAGTACTCCGTATTTCGGTACATGGACCCTTAGGGATTCAACACCTAAGTCACAAAGTTCTAAACCCTGTCCCCTTCTTTCAACGGGAGGACCATGTTATTACGGCAGTGAAGTGTACCAGGGCGCTGCTATCTACAAGAAGAGGGACCGAACAGCATACTTTCAGGGGCACTGGGCATCTTAAATCCAGCACTAAACCCCGACCCTTGGAATCCAGCGATCCTGAACCCGAACTCCCCCAACCCCGGGAAAGCTGACTCGACCTACCCTAGACCCTAAGCCTAAACCCTAAACACTAACCCTAAATCCTCAACCCTAAACCCATGTCGAGCCTGAGATCTTGAGCTTTTGATTCCGGGAGGCCATTGTTCGGGACACATACGTTCCCCAGTTGTTCTCAAAATGAAAAAATCTAGTAAGGATCCCAACCTTGAAAATCGGGAAGTGAAGATAAAACCGGGCATACTAGATCCATGCTTATCCACATGTTGTGACGGTTTGGGAGGGGGTTTAGGGTTTTAGGGTGCAGGGTTTAGGGGTGAGGCAGGTGGTGATGGCAAGAGGAGAACAGCTGGTGGGCCCTGAGCGCTAAACATTAGCCCTACCCTAAACCCTAAGCCCCAAACCCAAAAAAAAACTAAAACCTAATTCATCTCTAAACCCTAAACCCTAAACCCTAAACCCTAAACCCCAAACCCGCTGGGTCTCTGGCCAGCTCGTGCTCCAAGGTTTCGATGCGCTTCTGCGAACGCGCGACGTCCTGCAGCTGTAGGAGCTGCTCGGACTATTGGGTTTAGGGTTTAGGGGTTTAGGGTTTAGGGTTTAGGGGTTTAGGGTTTAGGGTTTAGGGTTTAGGGTTTAGGGTTTAGGGTTTAGGGTTTAGGGTTTAGGGGTAAATAGGGCTTGGGGGTTTAGAGCTTGAGGGCTTCAGGGTTTATCCAGAAGGCAGCCTGCGTGAGAACTACCACGTGCACCTGATGCCCATACAAGTGCGATGGGTTCCTTGACCCAAGAGTGGCCTAGGGATGAGGGATCATGGGGGGAGGAGCTGTGGATCTGAGATGTTGGCTGTCTTGCCAGGTGACAGGTGTTCATCCAAGCATGCGTTGGGCTTTCCCCCCCCCCCCCCCCGAAGCTGGCCCCTGAAGCCTGGTTTACCGGCCGAGCGCATTCTGGTCGATTGATTCCCCACACACACACACAACCCGCCACCCCCTGTTTACCTGAGAGTTTTATGGGTTATACCTACTAGTAAAGGGTAGTTGCTACAAACCTGTAGGTAAATAGAGTTCCACCCCAAACCCCAACCCTTCAACCCCAAGGAAACAATCCTAAGCCGCAAGAAATGAAAGGAGCTTTGCCAATAGACTCTCCGACACCCCAAAAGCATCCAACGCATGCTGCCTTCATTGCCAGGTCGCGCTGACGCTGGACCCTGGCGGCCTCCTGACATAAGGTTTAGGATTGAGGGTTCGGGTTTAGGGTTTAGGGTTTAGGGTTTAGGGTCTAGGGTTTAAGGTTTAGGGTTTAGGGTTGAGGGTTCCGGTGGCCCTGAGCCCCTTAAGCCCTAAACCCTATAGCGAGGGGCTGCCAAATAGAGGCGAACCCGGTATGGCGTATATACCGCAGGGCCAGGGAACCCGAAACCCAAAGCCCTCAGGGGTTTAGGGTTTAGGGTTAGGGCTTAGGATTTATGGTCGAACTTTAAAGTGCATTCCCAGTTCACTTCAGTTGAGGGCTTAGGGATTTGAGATTTTGGCGTTAGGCCCTAAACCCTGAGCTCAAGCTCTCTGCATCCCAAACTCCGCGATACGTTTGCGGAGCCTGACGCCAAACAACAACCTCCAAGCTAGAAAGATGCACAAGCCGAAACCACAGTTCATGAAGTGAAACCCTAAAGGCAATGCAACCCCAGAATGAAGCCGATTGAAGCCCCCTCACCTAATCCCCAAGAAGCGAGAGCCTTGTTCCGGCTCTCCAGCTCCAGGCACCTTGCGACCGCCGCGTGCGCATGCGCATGCGCATGAGCATTCAGGGTTGGGAATATGGGGCCTGATAGTTGCCCTAAACCCCAAACCTCTCCTACCCACATAATTTCAACGTTGGGGAGAAATTGGGCAAAGTCATATTTTTACTGTATTTGGCAAGGTTATATGTTTACTGGGCAAGGTCGTTCGGTCCAAAAAACCTCCTTGCACACAGGAAAAATATGATCTCTGGGCTGGTTTTAGGGTTTAGGGCCTACTCTGTGCCGGGTTTAGGGTTCAGGGCCTACTCTGGGCTGCTTCTAGGGTTTCGGGTTCAGGGACTACTCAAGGCTGCTTTTAGTGTGCAGCTGCAGCTGTGCAGAAGCATGAAACGAGCTAAACAAAGAGAGAAACAAGACAGCAGTCCATCATGCCCATCCCAGTGCGCGGCTCAAACTGGCACATTGAAGTGACAGAGTTCAAGCAATACACGTGTCTCGAAAAGCATCGTGTCATGACCCTTAACTGTGTACGCAATGAGGATCACCCGCTCACCACTCCATGGCACTGTGGCATGCAGTTTACATGGCTGGAATTCCACACCTGGCAGCACCACATTTGTGTCAGCGCGCCCTGAGGACCACCCTGTTCAAAGACATACTGTCCCATGTTGCCACACCAAATACCGCCACCAGTAAAGCGGGCTGGTTTTAGGGTTCAGGGGTCTTCTGGGCTGGCTATTGAGGTTCAGGGCCTGCTCTGGGCTGGCTTTAGGGTTCAGGGCCTTCTCTGGGGCTTTCAGGTTCAGGCTGGTTTGAAGGTTCAGGGCCTACCCTGGGCTGGCTCTAGGGTTCAGGGCCGACTCTGGGCTGGTACTTCGGGGTTCAAGGCCTTGGCTTGCTTCTGCTACTCTGGGCTTCCTCTCGGGCTGGCTTTAGGGTTTCAAGCCTAGGGTGGCTTTAGGGGTTGGGGCCTACTCCGGGCTGGTTTTAAGGAGTAGGGCTTACTCAGGGCCTCCTCATGGCTGGCCTTGGGGTTTCTTCCCCAGATAGTGGGGCACTACTCACATTTAGACCCTAGATAGGTGGGGGACACTAAGCAAATTATTGACCATACATAGTGGGACACTAAGCAAATGTTGATTCTCTATGGTGGGTTTCAGAATGTTGTTCTTGTCTGTTTTGTTGCCTGAAAAAAATGTAAGTGACATATTGTCTTAACGTTATGGGATTCTTTGGGCGGGTGGGTAATTTTCAACGCTCGATGATGCTTGGACTTGAGATGCTGAACCCTAAACCCTAAACCCTAAACCCTAAACCCTAAACCCTAAATTGCAGGGTTGGACACGATTCTTCAGGCAATCCCAGTGTTAACTCAAACCTGAGAGGCCCTGAACACACCCTAAACCCTCAACATTAAACACCCAGGGCCCTAAGCCCTCAACACCCTGTACTCTAACTGCAATTACCCTGAACCCCAAGCCGGAAACACCCTGAACCCTAAACCCCAAACTCTAAACCCTAAACCCCAAACCCCAAACCCTAAACCCTAAACCCAGCTGGGGCAGGGTGCTTGCTGCTCTGATCTCTTGCTTCCTGCTCCCAGGCGGCAGCCTCGGCTCGTCGTACATAAAAGACTACGGCGGTTTAGGGTTTAGGGTTTAGGGTTTAGTGTTTAGGGTTTAGGGTTTTATGGTCTCGGGTTTCGAGTTTCAGGCTTTAAGGCTTGGGTGTGTGTGTAAGAGGTGTTCAGAGCAAGAGGCTTAGGGGTTTTCAGGTTTCGGGGTGTAAGGCTTGGGGTTCTGGATGGGCATCTTGGATAGGGGAGGATTGAAGGGCCTCAGGATGGGTGTTTAGGGTACTTTATCTTTGGCATCTTTGCCCCTCCAGCATTGTAAGCCTGAACCCTACCAACTAAAAACCCTAAACCCTACACCCTAGACCCTACCCACTGAACCCTAAAGCCTACACCCTAAATCCTACACCCCAAACCCTGCACCCTAAACCCTGAACCCTAAACCCTAAACCCTGGGAGCACCGCGAGAGTCTCCAGCTCGCGGACTTTCGCCTCTAAGGGCCGAGGTCGACCGAGGCAGGATGTTTAGGCTTTAGGGTTTAGGGTTAGGGTTTAGGGTTTAGGGTTTAGGGTCTAAGGTTTAGGGTTTAGGGTTTAGGGTTCAGGGTTCAGGGTTCAGGGTTTAGGGTTTAGGGTCTAGGGTTTAGGGTTTAGGGTGTAGGGTTTATTGTTTAGGGTGTGGGGTGTAGGGTTTAGAGAGCGGCTCGGGGCTTCTTGGCACTCCGAGGGGCTTTTAGGGCTCTTAAGGGTCTTTAGGGTTTTAAGGCTTCAAGGCTTCAGGGTTTATGGTTGTAAGAGTTAAAGGGCTTCAGAGTTTCAGGGTTTAAGGGTTGAAGCGCAAAGGTTTAGGGTTAAGGGTTTAGGGTTTGAGGGTAAAGAATGTAAGGGTTTAAGGGTTTAAGGACTATGAGTTGTGTTAGGCGTTTTTCTTTTTTTTGACTGTAGTTTCAGTTGTCAATAGGGCTGCTGTAGGCGAATGGGGTTGTTGTAGGGTTTGTAGGGTTTGAAAGGTGGTATAAGTTTATAGGGCTTGTAAGGTTTGCAGGGACATCTTTCAGGCATTAATAGGGTTTAGTGACATGACCAGCTGTGAACCACCTACGAACCCCCGTGAACCCTTTTGCTGAGATCGCCCCGAAGCCGTGTAGGCCTACAGAGGCCCTAAACCCAAGCTCCACGCCAGATAGAGGTACCCTGAGCCGTGAAGCCTCTACAGGAACTTCGTTAAGGTAACCCTAAAGCCTAAACCCTAGATCCTAAACCCTAAACCCTATCCTAAGCCCTAACCCCTATATACCCTAAACCAGTACCCCACGCTTGGCCTTGAGAATCCGAGGGTTCTCCTCCTTCTCCAATGCCTCGAGCGATCCTATGAACCCTAAGTCCATAAGCCTTCGGGTCTAGGGTTTAGAGTTTAGGGTTTAGCCTCCAAGTGCACGGTTTAGAGTTTAGGGTTTATAAGGGAGTTTAGGGATCCAAGTATACAAAACAAAGTATCTACTTCGGGGATCTGCACTGTCCATAAAATGTAAATCCCCCTTCTTTGCGTTTGGAGTCCCAGGGCAGGCCGAAGCATCCCACGCCCGAAAAGAAGAAATAAACCGCCGTAAATCCGCAAACGCTAAACCCTAAACCCTACACCCTAAACCGTCCTAGTGAATTGCGAACTCTAAACACGAAACCCTATATACATCCTAAACCCTGAACCCTACGCTACAGATACTACAGTTTTCTTCTATCTCACACGCCATCTGCAAGTGCAGGCGGATCACAGACTTTGGACCGTCCTGCTTGAGTGCACGTGCCTACACCCTAAACCCTAAACTCCAACACCTGCCATGGACGTCGGGAGTCGAAGATGCGGGCAATGAGTATTCATGCCAGGCCCAACTAACGCTTCGGCGATCTTAGGGTTTTGGCCGTGGGGTCGAGAGCTTTGGGTTTTTGGGTTCAAGTAAGGGTTTAGTAAGGGTTCTGGATTATGGGCTTAAGACTTCCAGTTTGGGCTTCAAGTGGCGGTTTAGACTTAAGACTAAGACGCGACTGAGGGCAAATTTCGCTTTCGGGCTGGGACGACTCAAGCAGCCCTGTGGAACTCTATGCCGCTCGGAGTTGAAGGCTCTAAACCTGATCTAGACCCCGCGGGTTTTACGATTTCTGGTGTCCAGGTCTGGATTTTCCAAATCCCTGAATCCTGGAAGCCAACACCACACCTGAAAAGAAAGGCAGCAAAGCCTGTCCAAAGCCTAAAAATAAAACTTCTTAACCCTAAATCCGAACCCATCCCCTCCACTCTCAACCCTAAACTCCCAAATCCTACAGTAAACTCTAGAAAGTTGTCACATGGTTTAAGGAGAGCTGGGATTCCCTTTAGTATTACCTTTTGGGGGTTTGGGGATAAGGACGCTCCAATGTTTTTTCACGGGTTCCCCTCTATACTACCCCCCCCCCCCTTTAAATAACCTCAATTAGGCATAATCATCCCTACATAGCCGAAACCCCGAGGGGGGGGGGGGAGTATAGATGGGGGGTAATAGGGGAAGCCATACCCTAAACCCTAAACCCTAAAAACCCTAAACCCTAAAAAACCCTAAACCCTAAAAAACCCTAAACCCTAAAAAACCCTAAACCCTTAAAACCCCTAAACCCTAAAAAACCCTAAAAAACCCTAAACCCTAAGTTTACTGTAATACCGCGGAATCCCGAACCCTGGCCTCCCCACTGAGATTCTCCAACTCCGAAGGCGACATCATCTTCGGCCTGGACCCTAAAACCCTAAAACCCTGAACCCTGAAACCCTAAAACCCTAAAACCCTAAAACCCTAAAACCCTAAACCCTAAACCCTAAACCCTAAACCCTAAACCCTAAACCCTAAACCCTAAACCTCTGGATGTCCCCAAGCCGGGGGAGCTTTTGCTCTACAAGAGCGGAAGGCTCCAAGGTGAGGATGGAGGGCTTTGGAGTTTAGGGGTTACCTGGACTCCAAAGTATGTCAAAATCTGGACCAACACCCATAAGAGGGCCATTGCTTTACATACCTTAGGGGGGGGGTTAAGGGGCTTAGGATGGGCAGGGTTTGGGTTGCGGAGTGCTACACAGGCAGACGCAGATAGAGAGTGAGAGAGATGGAGCATTTTCGCGCACAGAGGGAGGGACAGGCAAGAAGATAGCACGGCGGCGGAACAGCAAATCAGCTGTTCGAAGAGGGGGCAAGGAAGCCTCACTCACACCTTCGTTTTCTCGCTCGCCCAACACCTATAGGTACCCCTGAACCCTAAACCCTGTATAAACCTAAACCCTAAACCCCAAACCCTGAACCCCTAAACCCCTAAACCCCTAAACCCCTAAACCCCTAAACCCCTAAACCCCTAAACCCCTAAACCCCTAAACCCCTAAACTCCTAAACTCCTAAACCCTAACCCTAAACCCCCTAAGCCACCTAAACTCCAAATGTCGAGAGATCATGAGCACTCTAGACCTGGTCTTAGTGTAGTCACGTGGTATGGGCCCTTACAAAGGGGACCCCTTATATACCCCGTATATGCCTTATACGACCCAAGGGCCATATTTCAGAACCCCTTACAGGTGGTAAGGGACCATATTAAGGGCCCATAGAATTGCCCAAAAAACTCCAAAGAAGACCAGGGCCTATGAAGGGGTCTGTTGCCCCAAGCTCGGGCACCTGTTTTGAAGGGTTGGGGATGTTTTGCGGGGTTTCAGAAGAACCCTGAATTTAGGGTTTCGGGTTGAGGGTTTAGGGTACCCGAATTCAAAGCGCCCCCAGAGATGAGATTAAACATGCCCAGGTGCCTCGAGACCCAGGACGCGGAGACACTCGAGGTGTCTTCGCCCTGCCCCCCCTCCTGCAAGTCAGAAACTGCCGAGCAGAGCACCGTAGAATGTCTCGCGCAAGCTTTCATGATGGGGGGTTCTAGCAGGAGCCAATGACAAGTTGCTAGTTCTTAATTTAGGCACCTAGAGAAGTAAGCACCCGAGCAGTCATCCTTTAACTTGGGTAGCTAACTCCAAAGTTCCCTACAAGTTACAAGAACCAGTGAGACAAAAAACAAGGCTTCGGAGAGTCCCCACGAGCGTGTCCTCGGTGCTTGCGATGGATCTTGTCCGCCTGGGGCTTTAGGGTGTATAGGGTTTAGGGTGTAGGGTTTAGGGTTTAGGGTTAAGGTGTATAGGGTTTAGGGTGTAGGGTTTTAGATTGGATGCAGCATGCCGCAGCTTTGCATCTCATGTACTCCCCTAAGACTCACCACGCGATGCACTCTGCAGCACTGCAGAGGCCCAGTCTACCGTACAAGCCATTGCTTGACATTGAATCAGGTGCATGCTTCTGCCCCTCAACTGGTACATTCGACGGAGAAGTTGTCCAAACAAAAAACAGACTGCAAACATCATTCCCTAAACCCTAAACCCTAAACCCTAAACCCTGAACCCTGAACCCTAAACCCTGAACAGCCCTGAACCCTAAACCCTAAACTGCAGCCAAGCATCAGATTCTCATCCTCCCGGCGCGGCTTGTACATGGACAGCTTCCGCTGCCGGACAGGCTCCACACCCACATTGGACTCGGGCCCCTCCTTGGTCGCCCAGTGACCGTATTTCAACAAAGGGCACCCTATAAGGGCACCCGATAAGGGCACCTTAAAAAAATAAAATCAAAATAAAACCCTAAAAGGGCACCCTATCAGGGCACTCTTTTTGTTGGGGTTGGTTACTTTCTAAGGGAACCTTTGACCCCAAAAAAAAAGAAAGAAGGAGGGCACCAACTGGGCTACCAAGCCGCAGAGACGACCCTTTTCACGGGCTCCCCGGTGTCCGTGCCCGTGTCGGACAAGGGCTTCGAGGATGCCCTTTGGAGACTGCGGGGAATGTCCACCTTCCTGCACATTGAGGGCTGTGCATTGCTAGCCTGGGGCCCCTCTCTACCGACAGTTTTGTGGGTGATTACCTACTAAGTAAGGGTAGTTACAACTAAACTGTAGGTACATTGAGTCCCAGGAAGCACATGCTGCAAGCACGGATGTCGAGTGTGCACAGCCATGTCCTCGCACGAACTAAAGCAGACACAAAGCCCTGCATGCGAGGCCTCAAACCAGACCCGGCCTCTCCGTCAGCAGCTTTGCAAAGCTCTGCTGGTTCATCTGCATCCAGGGGAAGCTTCATAAAACCTTAAAACCCCTATAGTCCCTGACGCTTTGGGACTAAGGACCCTTTGGAAAAGGGGCACAGGGTTGCGACAGATGTCGGATCCCCTTGGCCGAGCATGGACCTGCATGGACACCCTGTGCCCTAAAACTTGCTACCGCACAAAGCCGTCATCCCTGAACCCAGAACCTTGTCGTTGCGAGAATCGTAAACCCTGCGTCCGAATGGCTTATCATGGCACATGGCACATGGCATATGGCATATGGCATATGGCATATGGCATATAATACATGCGAAACACTAAACAGATGTCTCTCTCTCTATCTCTTTCTTTCTTTGGGGCATGGGCTAGCCCCGCGCCATAGGCGCGCCCCGCTCCGGCTCCTCGCCAACCCTATATACACCCCCCCGTTGCAGCCGCTTTTCAGCCGCCGCCGCCGCCACACCTGCCCTCCTGCGTGACTCTCTCTCTCTCTGGCTCTCTCTCTCTCTCTCTCTCTCTCTCTCTCTCTCCGTCTCCAAACTGGACAACGTGGGCTAGCGCAACCCTCGCAACTAGTCGGGCGCACACAGCAGTCCTAAATGTTTTCAGTGTCAGTGCATAGAGGGCCTTTATGAGGGGTTAGAGGGTAGAATAGCCCATCCTGGCTTCCCTCAACCCTCAACCCCAAACCCTAAACCCTGGTAAGCATCACAAAAGGGATTGTCGTTGCGCCCTACTCATTCCCTGCTGGCGGCTGGGGCTTCGAAACGAAGAGCTTAATCAGGGTCGGGTACTTATAGACGGGGGTACTATGCAAAACATTGAGAGTAGCTTGGGGGGTTCAAGTGGGGGGCCTTGGGCTTGCGGAGCCCACGACTCAGCGAGGTTATGGGGCTTAAGGCTTCGGTGGTGGGCCATGGAAGCGGAAAATCTGAACCCTACATATCAAACCCTACACACCAAACCCTAAACCCTAAACCCTAAACCCCAAACCCTAAACCCTAAACCCCAAACCCTGAACCCCAAATCCAAAAACCCACAGCAGCGCGCTGCCTCCGCAGCCTGCAGTTTCATCCGCAGGGCGTCCACCTGGCTGCATAAGGTTTAGGGTCTAGGGTTTAGAATTTGGGGTTAGGGGTGAGGAGACCTTAGAAGGGTTGTTCGTGTTTAGGGTTTGGGGATTAGAGCTTAGGCGTTAAGAGTCTGGGTTAAAGGTTGGGGGTTTGGGGTTTGGGGTTTAGGGTTCAAAATTAAAGCTTGAATGATTTAAGAGGCTTGTAGGGCGTCTAGGGGTTATAGTGCTGCTGGGGTTTTCTAGCTCTTCGCAGGCTAGGGCAGGGCCTCAAGGCCACTACTGGAGCTTGCAGAGCTTACAAGGCCTGGGCGGGGGAGGGCATCACACGGGCGATGGTCTTGGACTTTACATACGATATTGCTTGGGTCGGGTGAAAAAAAGGCGTGCAAACTTTCCCGACTGTGCACAATACACTCCAAGAGGTCCCGTATTCAAGGAGCCGGACCCTTGCACTATTTGAAAACAGAACACTTACTCCTTGGTATCCTCGTAAAATGAGGCTTCTATGCATGCCTGGGGATGGCCCTTGGCTCATGCTGTTTCGGTGATACTCTTGCGCCTCTGGGGATTCAAGTGTGTGTGGATGGTTGGTCAAGTAGTTCCATTCGACCCGTCTTGAAACACGGACCAAGGAGTCTAGCACTTGTGTGAGTTCTCAGGTGTCAAACCTCTGTGCGCAATGAAGGTGATTGCTGGGATTTTTTGCCCCAGCAACCGACCAATCAATTGGGAGAAGTTTGAGCTACCAAGTTACGGCATGATGATGGTGGGGACTTGTTGGTTGGCCCTCCACTAAACCCTGAACCCTAAACCCTAAACCCTTTAGAACCCTTGGAGCATTTAAACATTTCGGTGCCCACCTCCATCTCAGCAGTCTCCACGCGCGAGCGAAGATGAACCTTCGCAAGATGTGTGTGTGTGTGTGTGTTTGCCTGGGACTCTCTTCTATTGGGGGTATAACAGGGGTTTAGGGTTTAGGGCTTAGGGCTTAGGATTTAGGGTTTAGGGTTTAGTGTTATTTTCCGCAAACTCCCAAATCTTTGAGGGTTAGACCTTATAAGGCTCCTCACCATGGAGTGCCTGGGACTCGATTTACCTATAGTTGAGTAGTAGCTACCCTTAATTAGCAGGTTGTTTAATTAGTAGGTATAACACATACACCTGTTGGTAAAGAAGGTCCCAGGTGGGGATTATTAGTAGGTATAACCCATGAACCTGTCGGTAAAGAAGGTCCTAGGTGGGGTAAGGGAGAGGGTCCCAGGTGGGGATATGTTTAGGTTCCCAGGGTGTTCAGCGGAGTTCACATGTGCGATTTGGAACGCAGCGAGCAGCATGCGCATGAAATACCACATCAGGTAGTAGACACTATGAGACCCAAGTCACTTTGGGGCCCAGGATGCTATATACGAGTTCTCTCAACTCTACACCCCAAGACCCTCAGCCCCCCAGTCCGAAACCCTGATAGGGTTTAGGATTGAGAGTCTGACCCTGAGCGCTAAATCGTCAGGACCTCCGGCAACTGGGGGACCCAGGAGCAGCATTAGGGTTTAGGGTTTAGGGTTGAGGGTTGAGGGCTTAGGGTTTAGGGTTAGGGAACCAAACCGTCAACCCGAGTAACAAAAACAAACAAGATCCTTAAGACAGGGCGGGGGGTGGGGGGGGGGGGGGTGGGGAAGTTTCGGCTAGTTCAAAATCATTCATCACCCCCAAGAGGGTACAACTCTTCATGTTACGCCAAATACTATAAACCTCGTTAGAGGAAACCCCCCACATGAGGGTACCCGACTGTCGGAAGCACCCCATCCTGGGCTTTTAGGCTTGAGTTGTCCCCCTGGATCTTAGTAGGGAATGAAGGAATTAGGGGCCTGTACTATACCCTTTAAGGGAGTATATAAGTTACCTCATTCCCTCATTCCCTACGAAGCTTAACACCCTAAACCCAAAACCCTAAATCCTGAACCCTTTAAGAGAGCCAGCCCAGTTGTTTGGTGAGCCTGAGGGAGACTAGCCGAGTTCCGAGAGCTTGAGGAGTTGAGTGCTCTGGGCTGTTGGATCTTCACACCCTCCCTAAACCCTAAACCCTAAGCCCTAAGCCCTAAACCCTAGACCCTAAACCCTAAACCCTAAACCCTAAACCCCTCGAAACCTAGCCCTGTGGCTAGCGGGCCTTCTCCATGTCGATGTGCGCCGGGTGCGCCGCCTGGGCCAGGCAAACTGAAGCAAGCGCATGGAATTCCAACCCCCCTCTAGAATGGGCCCTTATGCCCCTATATAACTCGTATAGGATCCGTCTACATATACATATATATATATATATTTAATCCTTATATAGTCCCTTATATCGCTAAATATCCCTTACAAGAATCCCTCCTTTCGTCCCTTCACTGCAGCCCGATGAAGAGCCCGCCAAAACCTATGTATCAATGTCCTAGCATAACCCTACAAACCCTGTAAACGCTATAAGCCCGACAAGCCTTTCAAACCCTCTGAACCCTCTAAACCCTAAACCCTATAAAACTGAAAACAAAAAACATGTGAGCCCTGGCAGTCCATATAGCTTCCAGGATGATGCCCTTCATGGCACGTTCTTACGACTTGTGGCCTAACTTGCTTAGTTACTGCAGGCGTATCGCCCGGAACCTGCCCCAAACCTTGGGATGTTCACCCTTATACTAATTACAGCCCTTGATCAGGATGATATTAGGGGGTATACTAACATCGCTACGTATTAAGGACTGTTTCTAAAAAGGGGAACGTCCCAACCTAAACCCCATAACCTGAAATCGAAACTTCCAGATCCCAGAACTCACTCGGTCCCAGAGTAACCTAGGAATAATGAGGGTTTTGGGCTTAGGGTTTAGGAATAATGAGGGTATCCTTTTTGGTTGAAAGGGCTTTTTTCGCCGACACCTAACAAACGGAGTTTTGGGCCCACTCTGGCCCTTTAGTTCACAAAGGGTCAACAGCACCTCTTTGGGTAGCTGCATGGTCCCGTAGTACGGGCCCTTAAGTGGGGAGGCCTTACATACCCCTTTTTACCCGAGAAAACCCAAGGGCCGGTACTTCAGAACCCTTTACAAAGGGTAAGGGAGCCGTATCGAGGACCATGAAACTACCCTTACATCACCCAGCCGTGAGATGGCCTAAACACTAAACCCTAAACCCTAAACCCTAAACCCTAAACCCTAAACCCTAAACCCTAAACCCTAACGGGCTTTGGGAAGCTTCGGGGTCCAAGAGACCTCTGACAGGGGCTCCGAAGCCTCTCCCATCGCCTGATTGGCAGAACAGTGTGGAATGAAGGCTTTAAGGGAACCCTAAACCCTAAACCCTAAACCCTAAACCCTAAACCCTAAACCCTAAACCCTAAACCTTAAACCCTAAACCCTAATTCCGATTCGGGGAGGACCGAGACCTGCTTTTTTTGGGTTTAGGGTTTAGGGGTCTTGAGCCTCCGCGACCTGCTTTTTTGGGTTTAGGGTTTGTTTTACGGTTTAAGGTTTAGGGTTCTTGAGCCTACAACCTTTAATCCCAGCAGTGCTGGGCTCTGTCTAGGCGGAGGCTTTGGGGCTGGGAGGGCTGGGAGGGCTAGTTCATAGTTGGGATAGTCTTAAAATTCCAAAGTTTCTACTCCTTAGTGAGTTGAAGTAACCTTAAGAATGTAAAATGTTACCCCGCTATGACAGAATAGCCTCTTAGGTGCCCCAATATGGTTATCAGTACAGTTACAAGTAAAGTTATACCTGGTTACTAACCCCAAACCCTAAAACCCTGTAAGTACAGTTGTAACAACCTAACCCTATGCAATTGGTTCATAAGCACCATGAACCTCCAAGTAGGGGAGTCGGAGGGGTGAGGGCTCCTTGCAGCGGCACAAAAACCGGTCTTAGAGGCTCGGGTTTAGGGTTTAGGGTTTAGGGTTTAGGGTTTAGGGTTTGGGGTTGAGGGGTTTAGGGCTTAGGGGTTTAATGGTTTAAGGGTTTCGGGTTTAGGGGTTTAGGGCTAGGGGTTAAGGGGTTTAGGGTTTAGGGGTTTAGGGTTTAGGGTTAAGGGCTTAGGGTTTAGAGTTCTGGAGTTTAGGGTTTCGGGTTGTGGATGTTCGTTTGACTATATCTTGCCGTTGATACAACGTCTCTGAACGCACAGTTTGCCCAGGCTCTAAACACCCAAACCAGGAACCCGGCTAAAGACACCAACCCCGAACTTCGATTCCCATAAGAGAGAATCTCAGAGCGCGAAGAAAGGCCTCCATAAACTTGTCCGTGATCGCCTCAGGCGAGAGGCGTTCTCGTTAGGTCGGGTCGTTCAGGAGGTATGTTCCGAGTGGTGTACAGGGCTATTCTTCAAAGCAGCATGTGCTTTTCCGGCCTCTCTCTGACCTTAAGCCTAGATTCTAAAATCCTAGTGCTTCAATGCCTACACGCTGAAACCCTGAACCTCTACACCCTCAGAGCTTTGAAGGGGATTGGAGAGGCAAAGGAGGAAAGACAGTGAAATGAACGAGAAGGTCCGAACGCATCCCAACACACTTCAAGCCTTCTTCCCAGCTTCCAGTGCAGGGTGATAAGGGCTTTTGATTTCGGGTGTGGGGTCGTCGCAGCCGCCCATTGCATAGCATATACCCCCCAGAAGGCATCACATTGCAGTTACTTTGGGGCCCAAATGCTCCGAAAAGAAATGCCTGGACCATGAATTGGGAAAGACCACCTACCTGCAACCCTAAACCCTTGGCCACGATGAGAATTATAAGGTCAATGAGCCCAAAAAGGTCCCCCAAAGCCCGAAAAAAACAAGCTAAACCCTGTAAGCCCCAAAAGACCTAAAAGGCCCTGCGGAGCCACCCAAGGCCCGAAAATGACCTTTCAAAGCCTGTCAGCCCCAAAAACCCACCAAAGGACCTAAACTAACTCTACAAGCCCTCAACCCTAATCTTCCTCAACCCGAAAACCCCCGCCTTGGAGAGCAGCATGATGTACTCCTCCCACTCCGCCTGAACCAGGGTTTAGGTTTAGGATGGTGTAGGGCTTAGGCCAATAAACCCCAACCCCCAAGCACTCGGCTTTCGGGCCTGCACGTCAGACCCGTCAGAAGAAGCAGATCAGGTTTTTCTGGGTCCACTTTTATAGTACCCGGCTTAGAGTTTAGGGTTCCGAAAGGGACAGGTATGGGCCCAAGAGCTACACAAGCACTACATGTGACAGTCTTGGGGAAGTACGCTCTGTTGGAGCCGGGCTCATTTTCGTCAACATGAACTTAACGCTGAAGTGCTACACCTGACCATGTTCCCACCCGAACCCAAAACGACCTTTTCTAGCTTTACCTACAGTTTGATGGGTTCTACATACTAATTCAGGGGTAGTTACTACTACACTGTAGGTAAATAGAGTCGCAGGTAAGCCCTAAATCCTAAACCCTAAACCCAAAAAACACCCGGGCAGTCCATATCCGCTCCTCCCGGAAGTCGTTCAGCCGTGCCAGCCAGCCTCATCTAAAGTCCAATATAGGGGCCTGGATAGGGTTTAGGGTTTAGGGTTTAGGGTTTAGGGTTTAGGGTTTAGGGTTTAGGGTTTAGGGTTTAGGGTTTAGGGTTTAGGGTTTAGGGTTTAGGGTTTAGGGTCTACACAGATTCACATAATAAGCATGCATCTGGGGTCTCCGATATTCGGGGTATCTTATTGGGGGTCCTTTTTCATAAGGTAATTCCTACGATTTGGGGGACCATATAGCAGGGGCCCCGGATTTTCGTAAACCCCGACATGGAAGCAAACTGAACCTGTTGGGATATCGCCTTCACCCTAGAAGGACCTACGCGCAGCATCGCATCACGGGAAGGAACTGCACACTACCCATAGCAAGCACGAAAAGAAGTTGAGACTTATGGCTTTTTTGGTCCAATTCGGCCAGGAGAGTCGCATTCCGAGGTCCTTTTTGGGCCTCGATGACATGAACCCTGAACCGATCTAGTTGGCCGGGAGCAAAGCCTGCGGGAGTCGAGGGCATAGGGCTTAGGGCTTCGGGTTGAGGGCTTCGGGTTGAGGGCTTAGGGTTTAGGGCTTAGGGTTGAGGGCTTAGGGTCTAGGGTTGAGGGTTTAGGGTTTTGTTTTTTGGGGTTTCTTCTCCAACTCCTAGTGTCCCTAAAGGAGCACACCACACATGATCATATATACCCTCGCCACCTTACAAGAAGCCTACTCTACACTCACCACCCCCCTCGAAAAAAATAAGAAAAACAAACAGTAACAGTAACAGTAACAGTAACCGTAACAGCAACAGTAACAGTACAGCAACCGTAACAGCAACAGTACTAGTAATAGTAATAGTAATAGTAGAAGGAATAGGAATAGTAATAGTAAAAGTAATAGTAATAGTAATAGTAATAGTAATAGTAATAGTAATAGTAATAGTAATAACAATGGCGACAGTACTAATAATAGCAATCGCAATCGCAATCGCAATAGCAATAGCAATAGCAACAATAGCAATAGCAATAGTAATAGCAATAGAAATAGTAATGATGATGATAATGATTGTAACGAGAATGGTAACAACAATAACAATAATAATAGTAACAACAACAACAATAATAATTAATCATCATAAATAGAAGCACTCATTTCCCCTAAAACCCAACCAAAACCCTTCCCAACATATCGTAGGACGTGCTCCACAAACCCCTCCGCATGCCGAGGCGCGAAAAAGCTCCGCAAGCGGCTTGCTCCTGACGTGCTGTTTCTGTGTTTATTTGGCGGCGGGGGAGGGGCGTCTTTGTTTAGGTGCCGTGCAAAATAGAGGAGCGCAAAACCTACCGTAATCCAGGGAACTACCCGTTCTTTTCTTCCGCACTGCACGCTTCGAATTTTTGTGGCGTGTGGAACTCAAAGACTTAAGGGTAGGCAAACTGGTATCACACCAGAGGGGCGCCCTCGCCTGTTGGTAAGAAGGCGTAGATCCACCTGAAACTCCCGAAACCCTCAGCAAACCCAGCACCCAGCACCCAAAACCCTCAACCCTACTAGACTCTTTGAGTGAGCTTCACAAGAAAAACGGGCACTTCGGGCTTGAGTCTTGAGGGCTGCGGAAGGTCTGGGAAGGACCCGAAGCCCCCCACTAAGCCACAAGGCTCGTGGGCTGCCAGCTTCACAGGCGCCAGGATTCTAGAAATTCGGGCTCCAGGATGCTGGGGTGTTAGCGCTCAAGCGACGCAAAGGCCGCAACCTCAACACCCAAGTCTTAACCCTAAACAAGACATGAAACCCAAAGAAGAAAAGCCCCAGGCTAGATACACGCGAAGTCCCACAACCCCAAAAACCATCGAAGCCTCTTAGGCCAAAAGCCAAGGACCTAAACGCTCAGGTGGTCGCCAAAAAACGCTTGCGAGCTCTGAGTAATTTTCCATGGACTGGGAAACCAACGGAAGAGGGATCCGAGTTCCCCGAACTAAACCCCACAAACCATAAACCCAAATCTCTGGACCCCCAAGAAACCTGATAAAGCAACCCCTACCTTGGAGTAGACCCTTGAAAAAAGGAAAAATACTTTTTCGGCTTAAGTAGCTACCATAGGAACCCAGAACCAAAAAAACAAAAAAACATAGTACTCCAAAACCCAGTAGCCCTAAACCCTAAACCCTGAACCCTAAACCCTAAACCCTAAACCCTAAGACAGCCCGCTGGGAGCTGGGGCTTCCGACTGCACGAGCTGCTCCATGCGATCCTCGACGAGAGCATCGATCTGGTGGATTTTCGCCCTGCACTTCGGGTTTAGAGTTTAGGGTTTAGGGTTTAGGGTTTAGGGTTTAGGGTTTAGGGTTAGGGTTAGGGTTTAAATCAAGGGCCCAGGATCTGTTGCAGGGCAAGGAATTGGTTTTTGGGTTTAGGGAGCAGATTCTCTTTTGGGTCTGAGTCTGTATCTACGAGTTGTGTATGTGGGTTCTGGGGGCGCCTCGGGTTGAGGATCTACGCCAAAGAGTTCAACCCCTCAACCCGAAAACAACCTGAAGCCTCAACCCTAAACCCTTAACCCCCTCCCCCCCCCCCCTCAAGCGGCCCGTACACTCACACCGCAAAACGACTAAAGCCTAGCGTACGTAGGCGATGCATGCTTGGACGCACATATCTACGTATATGCATATGTATTTATCCTTGTGCATATCTTTCATATGACCCTTGGGTTTAAGGTTTAGGGTTTAGGGCTGTTTTGATTGCTTCAACAACGGTTATAAGTTATAAGTATTGCTTGTCATGTGCACTCATGACTATGGTTGCGTGTTCTTGATATCACTACAATTACTACCACTGCTGTTTCGATGTGCTGATAAAGAATGAAACTACTATGCAAAATTATACTTCTGTGACGGGGAATGTTGTACCTGCTTTAGTGTACCGCCCACCCGCAGTCCTCAATAGCCCCCAGCAACTTGACGTCAAATGTCAAACAGGGCGCCCACACTGAATCAGGTACAACGTTCGTGCAATTTGCCTTTGTTACAAGGGGGTTTCCGAAATGAGGGGTACCTTGTTGGGGTCCTTATTGTACAGGAATCCTACGAACTTGGGGGTCCACATTTGCCCTAAACCCTAAACCCTAAACCCTCAACCCTAAACCCTAAACCCTAAACCCAAAACCCTAAACCCTCAAGTTCGTAAACTCCCACCATAAGCTTCAGCCTCAGTTCCTTGATCTCGCGGTCCTTCTTGCGCAGCTCCTGCCAGGTGGCTTGGTAGCCCTATATAAGGATTTAGGGTTTAGGATTTAGGGTTTAGGGTTTAGGGTACGGGAACCTTGAGTTTATAGGGGAACTAGGGTTTATAGCGTTTACAGGGTTGAGGGTCGAGGGTTTCGGGTTCAGGGCTGATAAGGTTCACGGTTTAGGGTCTACAGGGCTGCTGAGTCTTGGCAGGGAGCTTGAAGCTTGACACGGGGACTAAGTCTGTCTGCAGAATCAGTAAGGGTTACAGGGCTCAGGGCTTGGTAGGGTGCCACAGCTGAGGGATGCAGTAGGGCTTGGAGTTCTGTTGAGTCTGTGGACTTTTCGTACGTTGTGTTGGTAAGTGGATGGGAAGTGCCTTAAACCCTAAACCCTAAACCCGGGTGGCGTTCTGTAGGTTCTGGAGGGTCCCCAGATGTACCTGGACCGCAAGTCTTCTTCCCAAACTGCAACTGCCTCGGACACTAACTGAATCTTCAAAACACGTCTACATTGATGTATACATTACATCTGTTCAACGTCTGGCCTGAACAGGTTCTAAGGAACGTAGATAGCCAACAAGGATGCCAAATTCTATGGGCATTGGGGGAGGGGGCAGCCCCCCTGTCCTGATGCCACGGTCGTCGACTTTTCTTTACAAGACTGTTTGGCTTCGTCGAGCCGCCCCCCCCCCCCGGGCTTTAAACATGCACTTTGTGCGTGCGCATGCGCAGAAGTTGCATGTTACATGAGGCATAAGGCAAGCATGCTCGATGTCAGTGCTAGAATTAGAACGTTTCAGCAGCATGAGCGGCAAAGAGGGAAAACACAAAATCGATGCAACTACTCAAACTTGGGATGCTCGTCCTTCTGCGAACAGTCCTTAATAGGGACTTTCGTGCCCTATTATAGTCCCTACTCAGGACTGTTAGCATAAGGGGAACATCCTAAACCCTAGACCCTAAAACCCTAAACCCTCAAAACCCTAAACCCTAAAACCCTTAACCCTAAAACCCTTAACAATTAAAATGCCCCAAGCCCCGCGAGGGCTTTCCGGGCGCCTCTTGTTCGGTGCCGAAGCGCTTCCGAAGCTCCTTGATGGACACCTGGGTTTAGGGTTCAGGGTTTAGGATTTAATTTGGGGTTTGGGGTACAGGTTGATAGGGTGGAGGAGTTCAACAACTGAGCAAGAAGCGTCTTAGGGGGATGGTTTGGGCAAAGAGCGTGTAAGATTTCGGGGCGTTTCAGGTTTTTGAGGTTGAGGGGTTATGTGGCTTAGGGTTTAGGGTTTTAGGGTTTTAGGGTTTAGGGTTTAGGGGTTTAGGGTTTAGGGTTTAGGGTTTAGGGTTTAGGGTTTAGGGGTTTAGGGGTTTAGGGTTGAGTGGTTGGGGTTCGCAGGGCCGCATGGTTTGGGGCGAGGCTGCAGAATGTGGAGTCTTTAGCTTCAAAGACTGACTAGGCTGCCCAGTAACCAAGGCTGAAAAAGGGTGCCCTTTTTTGCTTACAGGGGTTTATAATGGAACCTAAACCCCCCCAAAAAGGGAATAAGGGTAGTACTGGGCATCCTAGCTGACCCTAGATCCCACAACGCCTTCCAACGGGTACTCTTTTCCCCCAATTTGGGGGGGTTTACGAAATTGGGGGGTACCTTAGTGGGATCCTTACAAAATGGGGTCCCACTACTTTGGTTCAAACTTGGGGTCCCTTGCTACCGTAAACCCCCCAATTTCAAAAACCTTGATAGGAATCTGATTTCTTGAACCAGAACCTGCTCATTCAGCGTCCCGTGCAATGCGGGTTTTCAAAATCGGGGAACAGGGATTACTAGGGCGTGGGGTTCAGGCTTGTGAGTGTTGAGGGTACGTTTAGGGATGTGGAATGGGTGCCTGAAGCCGTCCTTTCTACAACCATCGCAAGCCAACACGTGTAGCAACCCTAAACCCTTCAGGCCCTCTTGCGTACTGTAAACTACAAGGAATACTAGACCCAAGACTAACCCAGGAATACAAAAAAGTGCCCTTTTTGGGCCTAAGCCCTAGAAGAAGGGAATAAGGGCCTACTCTGGGCCATAGAATACACCATAATCGCCTCCAATTTCACTCAAGCTCCGCGGAATCCTTGGCCCTTAGTCCTAGGAGACCTGAGGCGTGGAATTAGGGCTTTGGGGTTTTAGGGTTTAGGGCTTCAGAGTTCAAAGCCCTACGTCTGAGATTCCAGCCATGTCTTGGTACGCCTGAGGCATGAACCTCAAACCAAGAATCACGACATGACCCTAAACCCCAAACCCCAAACCCCAAACCCCAAACCCTAAACCCTAAACCCTAAACCCTAAACCCTAAACCCTAAACCTTCGGGATGCTCCCCTTTATACTCACAGTCCTTCATCGGGATTACAACAGGGGTACGACAACCTCTACTAAGGAATGTTATAGTCTAAGGGGAACATCCCAACTTACCCAAACCCAAACGTTCTAGGGTTCAAGGGTTTCGGGAAGTTCTCCGAAGAAGCTTGACTTGTAAACCCTAGACCCTAGACCCTAGACCCTAGACCCTAAACCCTCAAGCAGAACACAGGTCTTCAGGAATCCTAAGCCCAAGCGGATCCTTGCGGTGCGGTGTGTGGGTTTTCAACATCACGCGAGACTTCGAATATAGAGCCACCTCTAGGAGGTTCATGGGTACGTATAACCCCCACTTATAACTGCACCTATCAGCTGCTTAGAGGACTTAGGGGGCTTACACTACCCTAAACCCTAAACCCTAAATCCTAAGCCCTAAACCCTTAAAGCCTAATGTACAGACATAGTTGGGGTTGTTGAGGTGTCCATGAACCTCCAAGCTGATTTGAAGGCGTGTCTGGGAGGGCTTAGGCTTTAGTTTGGGATTTGCAAAGGGTTTAGGGTTTAGGGTTTAGGGTTTAGGGTTTAGGGTTTAGGGTTTAGGGTTTAGGGTTTAGGGTTTAGGGTTTAGGGTTTGGGGCATCTCGTCCAACACGACCTTCTTGCGGAAGCCGTGTCTCTGATCAGGCTAGAAACAGCATCCAAAAAAGGCTGGGGCAACGAAACCGTAGAACTTAACCGAACTTGAAGAAAACACAGTCACAACACGTATCGCAAACCCCAGCTTTCTACAGAAAGAGCCTTTACCCAAAGGCTCCTGCGCAGGGGTAGTATACCAGAGCCCCCCACATCTAAACCCTAAACCCTAAACCGTAAACTGTAAACCCTAAGCCCAAAAAGGAACACCCTAAACCTTAAACCCTAAACCCTAAACTACATTGGAGCCTTTTACTCTGAACCCCCGTTCAGACCGACCCGAGAAGGCATCAAACCGGCCAAGGGGGTTTGGGGTTTAGGGTTTAGGGTTTAGGACTAGGGTTCAGGGTTCAGGGTTCAGGGTTCAGGGTTCAGGGTTCAGGGTTCAGGGTTTAGGGTTTAGGGTTTAGGGTTTAGGGTTGACAAGGGTTTAGGGCGCCTGGTGCACCTTATCAAGCCCCTGGAGCGTTCTCAAAGCTATCGAGGCTTCAGCCAATACTTCTCGTGCTCCTCCAGCGGCTCTCGTCCGTAGCGCAGGGAGAAGAGCTCCTTGTGTCTTGGCAGCCCCAAGTAATTTTCACAAGGGCACCTTGGGATGTTCACCCTTATACTTACAGGCCTTAATGGGATTATAATGTGGGATACGATAATCCCTATTCAGGACTGTTAGTATAAGGGGGAACATCCCAAGAAGGGTACCCTTGTTTGGGTTTGTTTCTTTGTAAGGGAACCTTGAACCAACAAAAAGTGGAGAAGTGTACCACTGGGCTACTAAGGTGTGCCGGGGTCATCTTCGACAGGGTTTAGGGTTTAGGGTTTAGGGTTTAGGGTTTAGGGTTTAGGGTTTAGGGTTTAGGGTTTAGGGTTTAGGGTTTAGGGTTTAGGGCTAGCAGCTTCAAAGTATCCCTACATGAGATCATCCCAACTTCTTAACTGAATAGCAAATGCTGCGGGTTTCCGAAATTAGGGGTACCTAATTGGGGTCCTTACAACAAGGGAATCCTACTATTTGAGGGTCTATATAGTAGGGGTCCCCTAACCTATTTTCGTAAATTCCCAAACTCGGAAACATTTCAGATATCCCAAAGGTCATACCTAGTTTAACCCCTTTACCTGCGCACCTGTGACTTTTTTGATGCGCAGTGCCACCAGTGTCCTCAAAACAGGAAAGCCCGGTAAATCCGAAATAGCTCATGAATCCTTAAACTCGAGAAGTAAGATTTAAGCTTGATCTGCAGGAGGTTGCCGAGAAACTGCTCCTTAGGAGCGATGCTATGGACTCTGGCTTTAAATCCAGCATTTAAGGCTAGGTCCTCCAGGAACCTGGTGGATGCCCGATGCTTTCTCATTGGCTTAGCACAAGGGATCCAAAACACAGGGAATACAGGCACTCCTGTCCGCGTGATTGCCAATAGTACTCCCTCATGGTCCCTATACATTTCTACTATCAGCCGTCCAAAACCTATTGAAATTCTTCAGGCTCCTTAGTACCGTGTTCCTTGCAGGCTCATGGGATGTTTACTTCGGCGTGACCTCGAAAACTTCGTGAGGGCTCGCACGCCTTGTAGTAGTCGGACCTGCAGACACGCAGAGTCGTGGTGAGGTTGTCCACCTGCCAAGTGAAGGGCTGACAGGTCGGGGAGCCAAGTATGAAGTGTGGGGCTTTATAGGTTCTTTCCGGGTTTTGAGTGTCCCAGGGTCCCTAAACCCTAAACCCCAAACCCCAAACCCTAAACCCGAAACCCTAAACCCTAAACCCTCTTTTAAGAGGATTTTAAGGGCTTTTAGGGTCTTAGGTTCTCAGGATCCAACCACACCACTCCAAGAGACTGAACTCTAAAAAGCCTAAGCCCCTAAATCCCGACCCCTTCGAAACCTGTTAAGAACCCCCACCCCTCCTCAAATCCCTTCATTTAAGGCTCAGGGTTTAGGGTTTAGGGTTTAGAGAACCCCTTTGACAAAAAAAAACACCAAAACCCCTAAACTCTCACAAACAGCTGCAAGGAAGCATCATCCGCTACTTGATTGCTGCTAACCCTCAAACGTCCGAATCCCCTAAGTTCAGGGTTTTGAGGCCCCGCACCCTCTACCCTAAACGCTAAGCCCTCAACCCTCAACCCTAGACCCTAAACCCTATGACAGCTCCCGGGCTTTTGGGGCGCCTTTCGGCTCAACACCGAGATGGCGCGGTTCATGGTGTTCACGCGTGTTGCCTTGGTTGAGCTCGGTAAAGGGGCAAGAAGCTGCCGGCTCCGCCCCGGTCCCGATCAGCAGGCGCTTGAGATGAGGGTTAGGGTTTAGGGTTTAGGGCTTAGGGTTTAGGGTTTAGGGTTTAGGGTGCTGGCAGAAACCTCAAAAGGCTTCGACTGTAGGGTTGATCGGGTTCTCCACTTAAATCCCTAAACGCTTAGAGTTTGATTGCTTCAGTTGTGCAATGCAAAGGGCCATAAACCCTAAACCCAAAACTTGAAAAATAGGGGGAGGGGGGGAAGGGCTTAGGGATTAGGGATTAGGGATTAGCGTTTAGGATTTAGGGCTTACGGTTGTAAAACCTACCTGATAAGGGTGGCACGGTGGATCCAAATAGAACAACCTGGGGAGCCCAATATCGCAATTAAGAAACACTTGACTTAGGGTTTAGGTTTTATAGGGTTTAGGGTCATAAACCTCAAGACCCTATATGGGCTTTTCCGAGAATAGGATTATCTTTTTCTTGGCGGGGGGGGGGGGGGTCCCATAGCAAGAAAGCGAGTACTTCGATTTCGGGGAACTAGGGTACCCCTATGTTGGGAAATGCCTCTTTGAAGTAGGGTTTAATGTGCTAGTATCCCCAAAAGGACACCCAATACACACACTCACCAAGAACAGTAACATAAACCCTGTTTCATACAATCCAGGAAACATTCCTTCGCTGCGCGTAAGAATCGAAGAGGTCCGCTAGCGGAGTCCCTTGCTTTGGTCACAAAGCCGTCGGACGGGGCCAACAAGATCGGAACAAAGGCACGGTGTCCAGGAGGCCTTCTCCTGAAATACTGCTTCGAGGACTGCCTCTGTGCTGACTTAGGGTTTTAGGGTCTAGGGTCTAGGGTTTAGGGTTTAGGGTTTAGGGTCTTGACGATGACTCTGTGCCCGCACTCCCATTTTGTCTGGGAAGGGAAAGTCACACACCGCAGCTCATGCTGCTGCAACCGATGCGATACTTCATCGGCTGCCAGCTTGATCTCTGTGCTCGCTGGGGACACCATCTTCGAAGCTCGTCGTACAAAGCACTCACTTACGAGCCCAAAAACCTTGCCCTGGGCGTTTGGGGTTTAGAAATCTAGGTCTTAGGGCTTCAAAACCCTCAGGCCTAAACCCGAAAGACTCTGATTGAGCCCTATAGGCATTCATCCCCCCAAACCTATGACCCCCACAATTCTTGGACGGAACCCGCAAGCTTTTAGTGCAGGGGAGCAGCGGACACCAAGATGCGGGGACCGCCCATACCGGGCTGCGTGTGCGCATCAACGAAGACGATCTCTTGGACCTGTGCCAAAACCCTTGAGGATCTTAGGATGCATACTTTGAGGGTTTAGGGCTTTGGGCTTAGGATCCCTGCTTTGAGGATAGGGTTTAGGGTTTCGGGTTTAGGGTTTAGGTTTTAAGGTTGAGGGCTCAAGGTTGAGGGTGAGGGTGAGGGCGGTGTTCCTGCAAGCTACGGCTGCAATTTGAAGCAAGCTGCGAACTGCCCCAGGCCGACTCTGCCCTGGGGTTTAAGGGCTTAACTAAACGCTCAGGGCTTGAGGGCTTAATTTGGGAATGTAAACTTAATTTGGGAATGTAAAGGTTTAGCTTGGTTTTTTGGTTTAAGAAAAATCCACTTTAAAAAGGCTTGGCTCACCCCGCCTTGTCGCCATTCTCGGCGAAGTACTCCACCTCCAGGGTCGCTGGAGCTTCGTAGTCGTCCTCGCCGGTGTGTAGGAAGCAAGGGTGATCCCAAGCGGCGGCAGCCAGCAGCTGAGTGACAACAAGAAGAACAAAGATAGGGCCAATAGTAAACATGCATCATGTAATCATGTAATAGTATCTTGGTACTTGACATCATCAAGAACTTAATCACATTCGCGAGTGCAAAGTGCTTTCGTAAAGGAGGAAGTATCGACAGTTGGGGTTCACAGCTTCAAGATTTAGGATTGACTGGGCTTGAGGCATTGGACTTCCACCACCACCCGCCATCAGCCCCCCCCGGCCCTGTCGACCTCACCCCAACCCTGCCCCCTCCCCGCCCCCCCCCCCTCCCCCCGCCCAAACCATCACCCTACATCCCAAACCAACCCTAAACCTTGACCCCCCCCCCCCCCCCAAAGCGATGGCTGAGAGCTCTCTAAACCACGCACCCCGGACCCCCCTAAGAACCAAGAAGCTATAGCTCAACTGTTCACAGGTGCCCACAGGAAAAACATGACACCTTGTGATTCTTAAGCATGGTTTGGGATGCTCCCCCTTCATTATGCTTTCAGTCCTTGATAGGGGATTATAATAGGGGGGGGGACCATAATCCCCATTAAGGACTGTTAGTATAAGGGGGGGAACATCCCAAAGCATGGTTGTTGGAACATTCTTCGAAATAGTTGCGCTGAAAACAAACCCGCGGACGCGGCACCTCCCTGCGCTGGAAGATGTCGACAATGTTCCCGCCATTCAGCATAGACGGCCGCAGGCCCTGTTTCGTAGAGAAGCTGCTCGGGTCACACAAGCTGCAAGTATAGTGCATGCTGTGCGAATATCAGAGCTAAACAGGCATTTGTGCCTACGACGGTCTTCCACAGGCTGGCTGTCCAATGCATACATCTGTCCACATGCTCGGACAGCTGTGCACCTCATGTGCAGCCGCTTGCATGCCCCCGTAACATTGCCAAGTACCGTGTGACTAAAACCAACAGTCGAAGGCCTTTCGTTGCTAGTGGCAGGGAATATGTACTCCCAATGCAAGCTTGATTTGCAGCCTACCCAACCCTCCGTTTAGTAACAAAGCTGGCTAGGGTGTATCAGAGGATCCGTATCCGTTCTCTACAGGGCTAAAGCCATCAGAGCCTGGGTCACGGTATCATCGCTGATGAACGCCAAGTCCTGCAACACAAGATGCCGCGAAACTTGCTTTGGTTGAATGGTCGGTTTCTGATCATCTCACTCCAGTGCCTAGTCCTGGCTGGAGGGCCAGTGGATGACATGGGCTACACGCACAGCTCATTGTGTCGAGAGTGCAAGATTTGAGACATTTAGGCTTTCGAAGTGGCTTGAGGGCTTACTTGCAGTACGAAGGGTGAGCATGGACCGCACGAAGGAATGGATAATCACAAGTTTCGATTTTTTCCTGCGACATTGGTTTGTTAGGGTGACCCGCGATGATCACAAGACTTTCTTCCGGATGCTTGTTCTTTTTAAGGGTTTGAGTTCAGGGTTATATAAGGCCTTACGCAATAAGGCTTGAGGCCCTGAGGGCCTTGGGCTCCAGGAATCTTAAAGAGCTAGCGCCCTGAGAATCCAGAAAGCAAGCCCGGCCACTTCCATGTAAAGCCTTATTGAATTTCATTACGGAACGAGAGGGTTTAGGGTTTAGGGTTTAGGGTTATAGGTAGTCCACGCGCCAGCCGACGCATCTTAGTAAATTTGATCCGAATTCGACGGCGGCACGGGGGGCGGGTGGCTCTCGGGGTTTCTGACTTGCGCGCCTTCAATGGGGAGTGCAGAGACAGAACAACCCCTAAACCCTAAACCCTAAACCCTAAACCCTAGACCCTGAACCCTGAACCCTGAACCCTAAACCTGCAACCCACATCAAAACCTATATAAGGCTCCAAACTCCCAAAACCTGAAACCCCAAGTAACCGCAACATAATCACAAACCCTCAGAATGACTCGGGTAGCCCGCAAACACCAGGGACACCCTACCTACCGGAAAACTACACCCCGGAATCCTAAACCCCTAAACCCTAAACCCTCAACCCTCACTACCCTGAACCCCAAACCCTAAAACCCCCAAACCATAACCCCTAAACCCTAAACCCTAAAACCTAAACCCTCAACCCTAAATCCTAAATCCTAAACCCTAAACCCTACTGCTCAATTTAAAGCAACCCGAGTTGGGCTCCTGGTCCCAGATCCGTCTGCCGAGTCGCTGGCCGGTGGTGAGACCCGGTGCGTCCACGACATCCTCGCGGGCGGTTTAGGGTTTAGGGTTTAGGGTTTAGGGTTTAGGGTTTGGGGTTTAGGGTTTAGGGTTTAGGGTTTAGGGTTTAGGGTTTAGGGTTTAGGGCTTGAGATTTAGGATTGATTTAGGGCCTGCATGAAGAAGAGGTTTTGCTTGGGTGGGTGGGTGGGTGGGTGTGTGGGTGAGGGAACAGTTCTGGGAAATACCAAACCCAAAAGCCATCATAACCTGTGCCCTCAACCTTGAAAACCGCCAAAGATAAGCCTGAACTCGAAACCTTAAACCCCAAACCCCAAACCCCAAACCCCAAACCCTAAACCCTAAACCCTAAACCCTAAACCCTGCAGAGCCCCAAGATCTAAAGAAAGCCCGAACCCTTCAAAAGCCGATGAAGCCCTTCATCACCAACGCAGTTGCATTCGAACCTGGAGATTATATTATAATAAATGAAATTAAACTAAATTATATTATATGATATGATATTATATTATAGAAAGGGTATGTCTATATATATATATATATAATAGCGGGATGTGGAAAGACTACATACCTTACACCTAGGAAGCCCGAAGCCCGGCCTAGGCCTCAAGCCTGAACTCAAGCCGAAAGATTCTAAACCGTAAACCCTACACCCTAGACCTAAACCCTAAAGCCACCAACAATGTTGAACCCTAAAAGCCTAAACCCTCTAAACCCCCGAAACACCCCGAAACCCCCCGAAGCCCCCACAACCCCCTAAACCCCTTAGCCTTAACCCTAAAACCCTATAGACCCTATAGACCCTAAGCCCTAAGCCCTAAGCCCAAAGCCCAAAGCCCAAAGCCCTAAGCCCTAAACCCTTAACCCTAAACCCCCCAAAACCCGAAGCCCCAAGCTCACCAGACTGAGCCAGGTGGAGGCCCCTAAACCCTAAACCCAAAGCCCTAAACCCTAAACCCTAAACCCCAAACCCTAAACCCTAAACCCTGAACCCCCTTCTTGGAAGCTGAGGCGGGTGCACGGTATGGCTCCCGAGCCTGGAGGGGACTCTTTTGGGGTTGAGGGTTTCAGGGTTTCAGGGTTTCAGGGATTCAGGGATTCAGGGTTTCAGGGTTTCAGGGTTTCAGGGTTTCAGGGTTAGGGTTTAGGTGTTGGGGGTTTAGGGTTTAGGGGTTGGGGATTTAGGGTCAAGGCCTTTTTGGGGGATTCGGAATTCGGCAGTTCAAAGCTTTTGGGTTGGGGCTCAGGGGTTTTAGATGGGTTTAGGGTAGCCGTAAACCCTAAACCCTAAACCCTAAACCCTAAACCCTCGGGTTGAGAGTTTAGATGAGGGCCGAGACTTCGGACTTTGGAGTCGGTGTACTAGACCCAGGAGTAACAGAGGAATACAAAGGGTGCCCTTTTTGGTTTGGAAGGGAGTATAAGGGTTTAGGGTTTAGGGTTTAGGGTTTAGGGTTTAACCCCAAGGCAAAAGAAAGGAAATACGGGCCTACTCCGGGTCCGAGTGCATTTTCCTTTCCTAAGGGGGAGGAGAGTTCGGGCCTTGGGATTGGGCTGCGACAGGGCTTCCAGCGCAAGGTCTAGGGCCCTGGGTTCAGGATTCAAGGTTTAGGGTACAGTGACAGCACTGATTAAGAAATCATTGGATGAAGAAACGAGCATGCTCGCGGCTGGATCCCGGATTTAAAATGCGAAGACTGTAGCCCGAAACCCTAAATCCTAAACCGTAAACCCTAAAACCTAAACCCTACAACGCCGTAGAGCCTATAAAGCGTGAACTCCATAAGCCCTTAGCATCCTGAGCCTCAAAAGCTATTAACCCGGGTGGCAGGAGCCGCTTCACACACCCATCCTGAACATCCTGAACCCAACATCGGGATTAGGGTTTAGGGTTTAGGGTTTAGGGTTCATGGTGCCCCCCCCCCTGTGGTTTATGGTCTGTGGTTCATGGGTTTAGGGTTTAGGGGTTGAGGTTAGGCTGTAGAGTTCAGGATTTTCACTCTGGTCTATTGGTTCGCTGTGGGTTTAGGGTTTAATTAGGGTTCAAGGTTTGGGGTAATGGTAGGTTTACGGTTTCCCTTCTCCCCCCGTGGTTCGTGCTGGGTTTACGGTTTAGGGTTCAGGGTTAAAGCGGCTAAGGTTTCGGGTTTACCCTTCTCCCCCATTTCCGTTCATTGGTGGGTTTAGGTTTTAGGGCTTAGGGTTCAGGGTTTGGGGTTTAGGTTGAGGTTTCCTTGTCCCCCCACGTGGTCCGTGGTGTTTTTAGGGTTAACATGCAGGGTTTGGGGGGGGGGGGGATACCATTGGGGGGGGGGGGGGGGGGGGGGGGGGGGGGGGGGGGGGGGGGGGGGGTCGATTACGCGGAACGCGGGCGCACATAGGGTTTAGGGTTTAGGGCCGGCGTAGGATTTAGGGCTTTGGGGCTTAAATACTGAAGTGTTTAGGGTTGAGGGCTTCGAGGACTCATTTCTAGCTGCAGGCTGCCGCTTCCGTGCCGCAAGAAACTTCTTCGGCCACCATGCCATCTACACCCGAAGTCAAACTTTCATGTGGGGTATTCTCTATATTAAGGCGCCTGTTGGGGCTACTGTTTAGGGTTTAGATTTAGGGTTTAGGGTTTAGGGTTTCGGGTTTTTATCATCAGGCGGCCTACCCAAAAGGGACCATAAACTTGAGAACTGAACATATGTAGCTGGTCATAGAGGGTCAGCCGGAATAGGTTTTTTGGTGGACTTAGACGGGGAGAAAGAACTCTTAGGGCTTACTACGATTGGTAAAAGACCCCCCCAAAAAGGGCTTTGGGTGTACTATGGAAAAACGAAACCCCAATTAGGATTCTGAGTCCGAACCATTTGTAGCAGGCTAAGAGTGTTGAGGGAGTAGCGGAACCCTGAACCCTAAACCCCGAACCCAAAAATTCCAAAATCCTCCCGCACCTCATCATCGGACTGATCGGGGTCTGAGCGCGGCGAATACCGCCCATACCGCGAGGAATCCATGTCCCGAAGCACTTCAAGTAGGCCCGGAGTCGAGACGAGTGTTCGATACAGCCGGCTAAAGCTTTCGAGCCCGTAGGCCTGGACAGAAGGATAGAGTTTACAGTTTAGAGGTTGGGGATGATCTGTTGGGATGGGGCATGGCTTCGAGCTTGTGGATAGGGGTTTGGGTGGCCTTTTTTTTTTTTTTTGGGGGCGCGGGGGGGGGGGAGGGGGGCGGGGGGGGAGGGGGGGTGGGAGGGGGGGGGGGGGGGGTCGCGAGGCTGGCACTCCTAGACGCTAGACTCTGCATGTTTTAGTAAGGCAAAAATCTTGAGCCAGCCCGCCTCGCCTGCTCAAGAGACATCTTGCCCCTAAACTCGTAGCAGCGCAGTTGCCACAATGGGTTCTCGGTGGGTATCCAAGACGGCGGATGTTTGAGGGCCCCGATATGTGAAGTTTTGCCGAAGCCAGATTGCAGAAGCCCCTTCAGATACAAGAACCCTCAAACACCCGGACCCTGGACCCCAAACCCTAAACCCC